ACGCTCCGGACTGCTCATCGCCTTTACTACTTTCTTCGCCACTTCCTACGCCACGGAACTGGTTCCCTCCCTTTCCATTGAATTTTATGATTGCAGATACTTTAATCTAATTGTCATAAACAGTTCCTACACTCCGGACAGCTTGCCTTGACTACTTCCTTCATCACTTTCTACGTCGCGGACCCGTTATCCTTCCTTCCCATAGCATTTTATGATTGCAGATATCTTCATCTAATCGTCATAAGCAGTTCCCACACTCCGGACAGCTTGCCTTTACTACTTCCTTCGCCACTTCCTACGCCACGGAACTGGTTCCCTCCCTTCCCATTGAATTTTATGATTGCAGATATCTTAATCTAATCGTCATAAACAGTTCCCACACTCCGGACAGCTTGCCTTGACTACTTCCTTCATCACTTCCTACGTCGCGGACCCGTTTTCCTCCCTTCCCTTGTAATTTTTGGAATGCAGATACCTAACTCTAATCTTCATAAACAGTTTCCACACTCCAGACTGTTCACTTTTAGTACTTCCTTTAACACTTCCTACGTCGTGGACCTCAAGCTAGTGTCGTCATTTGATTATTTTATGATCCATACCACCGTTTATGTTCTAATATCTGTGGGAATAATGCTATCAGCTATTTATTTATCTACTGCATTCAAAAGTCAACAGCTGATCATATGTCTTTGTTTATGTGTCAAATACTGCTTCCATAAGGATTACATTGAAACTTTGAGTCCCAGTGGGGCGGATTCCTGAGAGTTATTTTTAACGCCATATAGATGTTGGCACTCACCGATATGGTCTTTATCACCATCCAAAATTTGAAAACGATTGATTCAGCCGTCTAGGAGGAGTTTGCGTATTACGAAATGCATAAAAGTCGACGTATAAGAGCTTCGCTCGCTCCGCTCAACTATTTATTTACTACTAGTAGTTGCTTTTTCAGTTTTAAATCTCCAGTTACAAAATTCTTTTAACGTTATAAATTATTAAATTACGCTATATGGTAAAGATAATTTTTCTCCAATATACTAACTTTAACTACAAATGTATAGAGAGCTAAACAAAAATATAAGCATCATACTATTAGTAGATATGGAGTGATGATGGTACGAAATTATGCATATCACGCTATCTTAGGGCAAGTAAAAATTATGGTTGCTAAAAAGTGTTTTTGTATTACACTGGTAAATTTTTAATACGAATTGATCTTTTATCCTAGTTTACGTGGGCTATAAGAACAGGTAAAACAACAACAACAACAACAAGCAAAATCTACGTTTCTTTATATCTTGTTTTAAATAGTTTCAGTTTAAGTTGTAATATGTTATACGGATTCAGAAGACGAAATTATGAGATGATCTATACAAGACAGTATTTTCAGAAGAACGAGATGTAACTTTGTTTACTACAACCTATGTAAATTACGCAACAATCAAGAGTAAACTATCTACATTTCACAGCAATGTGTATTTTTAACAACGAAAAGAGAAAACATAGAAAATCAGAATAAAGTAACATGATGATTATAAATAATATATGAAAAGAAATATTAAGACATTTTCTTGACGTACTCAGTAAGAAAATCTTCCCCAGTATGTTATACAATTGTATAGTGTTCTAAATTGTATAATATTCCCTCCGGAACTTTTTTTCATATTAATATTGTTTTACTAATACCAGGGTATTGTACCAAAACTTGTGTATGGTAAACAACGCTAAGTTTGCTGAAACATTCGTATCTGAATTACATATACATCTCCGTAATAATTGACCATACGGTACTAAGCTGGGAGTACCGTAAGGTACCTATAGTAACATGTACCATCTATTGTATGGTGTACCACACTGTAGACAGTTAGATTTGTCGTCTTCAGTATGATGTGCCATAGTGCACAGTTAGATCTACTATCTTCAGCGTGGTGTACTATACAGTACACAGTTAGATTAGATGTTTCATCCCCAGTATGGTGTACCATAATTACACAGTTAGATGTGTCATATACAGCATGATGTACCATACAGTAAGCAGTTAGATGTATCATATCCAGTATGATGTACCATACGGTGCACAGTTAGATGAACCATATCCGGTATGGTGTAGTATACAGTACACAGCTAGATATTTCAATCCAGTAAGATGTACCATTGATGTATTGATGTCTCCAGTACCATACAGTGCACAGTTAGATGTGTCATCTTCAGTACTGTGCTAGGCGACACAGGCGAGGTCCCAAGTGACTCAAGAGTATTTCTTGGTCATTGTAACCCAAGGCCTCGTCCCTGCCTTGAACTACATGTAAAGAATTGACTTATGTTCCGATTTGTCTGGTGATTATGGTTGTTTCACAGATTATCAAGCATAGCGGTAGTTTACCTTCTATTTTGATATGATTTATTAAACCCATGACTAGTTTATCCAATGATTGATATTGAGATACTTATTGTTTTCTAAAAAAATAGTGGAATGTGTAGTAGTGTGTGTGGTTCTAAAAATGTGGATCTTAGATTTGATAAGTTCTTACCATAACGCCTTGGCATTTTATAATGCAGCCTTTGGATTCTAAAAATGGTATGGCTTATTACAAGTCTGTCTAATTTTATATTTTCGAAATAAGAACAGCCAGTTGTTTACAAAAATATTTGTAGGAAAAAAACAGTAGTATATATTAGGAGAGTAAATTAAATAAATTAACAAAAGTCGCAAGAGCTCAAGAATATTCACATACATATAACTTTATCTATCAACTTTCTACTTGTTTGCTATTTAAATCCAAACGATTACCTTCAAAATATAACTATTTTCATGAATTTTACGCTTTAAACCTCCCCTAACCTATGGGCCAATTTTCAGAGTATTCTACAGGAGTATAGTATAGCCGCGTAGTGGGTTTCACGTTAAGCAAGAGCTAAGTTTGTTGGCCAACAAGGAGACACGCCACGCCGCACAGGATGCACGCTTGTTAACATCCGTACTTATGAACTAGGCAGTACACTACAGGCTTGTCACCATGGAGACGCTGTGCAGTACACAGTAGGCCTACTCTGTTGGCTTGTCACCAAGGAGACGCTGTACAGTACACAGTAGGCCTACTCTGTTGGCTTGTCACCAAGGAGACGCAGTACACAGTACTTTGATGGCTTGTCACCGTAGAGAAACTGAACACAGTACTTTGCTGACTTGTCACCGTAGAGAGAGACACGTTGTACACAGTACTCCGCTGGCTTGTCACCGTGGAGACGCAGTACATAGTATACATTGTTGGCTTGTCACCATGGAAACGCTGTACAGTACATAGTAAATTGTTGGCTTGTCACCATGGAGACGCTGTACACAGTACTTTGCTGACTTGTCACCGCGGAGAATGTTGTCCAGTGCGTGAATAGAATGGCGAACATCATACGTATTGCGGGAAAGGTGACGGAGGTGATAAAGTTGTCTACTACCTAATTGGTTAAGGGGACGATGTTGGTCAAATCGTGGCTAAGGGTGGCAGAAACAAAAAACCCCGTCCGCAGGCCATGAATTACTTTTATTTCTTAAATACTTCCCTCATCTATTGATGTGACTTAACCTAACCTAACCTAAAGAAATTAAACCGTGAAAAAATGTAAACCACCAAAACGTAGGAAATGCGATCGTGGCAACATTGGCGATCAAATGAACAAATTGAATTGAAAATAATAAAATTAATATATTGTGGCAAAATCCGATTAAAAGTCTCGCGATGGCTAACCCCGTCGCCGTTTAGGAATTGACGTTTGGGCCTAACATACTTGCAGTAATTATTTATTTCATTTCCAATGATGAACTTTTGAAAACAATATAATCCATTATCTTACTTAAAAAGCCCTTTGGACTTGGTTTTGAATTGGTGTATGAAATATAAATCATGAATATACAAATATGAACAAACAAATATAGGGATATTTGTATAATAAACACTTTACTACGTAAATGAAGCATGTGGAAAATTTCAACATTAGCACCCCACTTTCAAAGAGCAGTAGTCTACTATCTAATTAGGTACTGGTGATGCGAACCGAGAACCGATTTTGGGTAGGAACCAATTTGGGTACCGTACAAATGCAAATAATATGAAAGTTAGTAGGATTTAGTCAAAGTGTAAGCCTATGTAAACGTGTGAAATATTTGTTCTAAAGAAAGGAGAAATTGCATGAAGGATTAAATGTACAAGGTTAACTAATTTTAGGAAAGGAAAAGGTACTTTAATTTGGGTTATTCAAAGAGTGGTTATACTGAGCCAGCTTTTATTTTGCATATTCCCAACGCTTAACGAACACATAATAATACAGTACTCAAGATAAAATATTTAACTAACTGATGTGGAGAAGACAAAAAATATATACGTTCAGTAATTTGAAATGGAAAACTTATAGGACATATCAACTTCAATTTATTAATATTGTAAACTCAATTAATATTTTTTTGCACAAAAATTAATTGAATTTCTAGTAAAAAGTAGATAAATAAATGTATTAGAAAACATATGTAAAAATATGTTATTTTGAAAATACTATTTGCTAATCACCATTAAATAAAAATCAGATTGTATTGCACAAAATGCCCAAAAAGATTGAAACGAAAAATAGAACTTTTTACATGAATTAAAGTTACCTAATTTTTAGTATAAGTAAAAATAAACCTTTTAACTCAGAAATAGGCACGGACAAAAGTAAAATTGATTTTCTGTAATAGAAATTTATTTAATTACACTATATAGTTTGCATTGAATTTTCACTTCGTATAAAATAAAGTGATTTAATATCTACAACCCTTCTGACTAAAATAAGGTTCCGGTACAGCAGTGTTTACCGTTTATCTAGAGTAGTAGGTTTGGTGTTGGGTTTTGTTCAATAGATTTTGTACTTTATTTAGTTTCTTGTTGTAACGTGCCACAAAGATGGCACTGGAAACAACCAGTGATAAGAAGAAAAAGATCTGAAACGAGATAAAAGAAGTTTCGTTTTTACAGGAATCCTTCAATAACGTTCAGTTCGAAGTAGACGTTGAAGAAGACCAAACGTAAGTTACTAACCTCACCCATTTTTCATAGTTTTTATCCCCTAATATAATTGAATGTGTTCACATTTATCTAATCTTTTCATCTGAGAATTAATAAAATTTAATGTGGTTTTGGATTTACTAATTTATTTTTTGGAGACTGTAATACTAGTATAAAACATTTCTAGAATATTATCTTAAATACTTTACCTAATGGATACAATAATGTGGGTTTTATTGCCTGATTAAAACATATGAATTGGAAAGCTATTGATAAAACTAAACCACATGATTAGTATTATTTTTATGTTAGAGATTAGGTTGATCAGACGCGTGGTTTTGGCAAGCTTGACAAGTGCAAACTTGTTATTTTTCTTGTTTTGACAAACATCGCTAAATGCTTTTGTGAATTGGGAAAATCAATCTTTATTTACAAATCAAAATATAGTTACCTTGTTTTCACATGTTTTTAGCGAATTTCCCATATAGGGAATAAGCTGTTACGGTAGTACTCATGGTAAGACCTGGACCCGGGACCGATTTACTTTTTCGTTTTGAGGTTCCTAGAGGCCAAAAACACCATCCGTTCAAATTCATATATATACATATATATATATATATATACAGGGTGTCACAAAAAAGTGTGATGGGCTATACAGGACCTAATTCTACATGCAAAAATAAGTCAAAAATGAAGAATATTTTTTTTTGGATTTCGGCTTAGTTTAGCCGTAATCCGCCATTTTGTTTTTGGGGAAAATATTTATTATTTCAAAATCCCTTTGAGATATTTTTACAAAACTTAGCAAAATTGTTAACACTATAGTAAGTAACATTTACAAAAAAAAATATTATTTTAACTTTCCAAATTTCAAAATGGCGGCCGTTTGAATTTTTTATTGCCAAATTTCATGAAAACCGGTACCTAAATCAACATTTTGTAAGAGACAAAAGTTTTAGTATTTATTATGACAAATCCAACAAAACATAAATGAATAAAATCGGTTCATAAATAAAGAAGCTGTGTTTATTTTAGTAATTTAGACTGAAATTATTAATATTAAAATGTATTAAATGTAATGTAATAATTTATGTAACGTATTAAGTAATTTCAGTCTAAATTACGAAAATAAACACAGCTTCTTTATTTATGAACCGATTTTATTCATTTTTGTTTTGTTGGATTTGTCATAATCAAACATGAACTAAATAAAATAGTATATACCCATAAACATATACAGGGTGTTTTTTTTAAACTTGCATCTTTATTTATGTAAAAACCGCAATATATAGAAATATGCAGTTTGCGGGAATCATCTATTGACGTAGGGGGCCCAATTGTTTTGAATCCAACGTTACATTCACATTCCCCCCCCCCTTTCCCCCCTGCCACCAACTTATTTTTTTTAAATAGCAAGGTACCCCTTGTGACATATCAAATGAAAGAGCATGAAAAACAAAATTTTTGGTGAAAAAGAATTTAAAATCGGCTCATAAATTTTTGAGATATTTCACCCCCTTTCTCTCCCTACCCTTAACTTAATTTTTTTAAATTTCGAGATATCCCTTGTGACATATCAAATGAAAGAGCACGAAAAAAGAATATGTTTAGTGAATAACATTTTAAAATTGGCTCATAAATTTGTGAGATATTCCACCCCCCTTCCCGGAACTTAATTTTTTTTTAATAGCAAGGTGTGACATATCGAATAAAAGAGCATGAAAAAAGAAAATGTTTGGTGAAAAAATATTTGTATTTAGCTTATAAATTTGTGAGATATTTCACCCCCTTTCTCTCCCTTCTCTTAACTTAAAATTTTGGAATTGCGAGATATCCCTTGTGACATATCAAATGAAAGAGCACGAAAAAAGAACATTTTTAATTAAACAATTTTTGAAATCGGGTTCTAAATTTGTAAGATATTTCAGGATGTGTTATTAATACTTACAGCTTTAGCCATATTGTGTTGTTAGATATTACGTAATTGTCATTATTAATGATACTGTAATTTACTTTAATGTTTAAAACTTTAAAAAATGTTGAAGAAAAATGTAGCATTAATAACAATGTAATTGTTAATTTTGCCAATTACAAAGTTTCTTTCACCAAAAATTTTCTTTTTACATGCCCTTTTAATTGATAGGACACAAGGGATATCTCGCAATTTCAAAATTTTAAGTTAAGGGAAGGGAGAGAAAGGGGGTGAAATATCTCACAAATTGATAAGCTAAATACAAAATATTTTTTCACCAAAAAATTTCTTTTTTCATGCATTTTTATTTGATATGTCACAACTTGCTATTAAAAAAAATTCAGTTCCGGGGAGGGGGGGGGGGGGGTGGAATATCTCACAAATTTATGAGCCGATTAAAAATTTTTTTTGACCAAACATTTTCTTTTTTTGAATGTAACGTTGAATTCAAAACAATTGGGCCCCCTACGTCAATAGATGATTCCCGCAAACTGCATACTTCTATCTATTGCGGTTTTTACATAAATAAAGATGCAAGTTAAAAAAAAAACACCATGTATATATATGTATATATGTGTGTGTGTGTATGTGTACGTTAGCACGATAACTCGAGCAAAAATGATCCGATTTTGATTAAATTCGGTATAAACGTGTAAACCTACATTTATTTGAACGAGTTCGCGAACCAGCATGATCGGACTGTGGGAACGTGGGTTTATGGGGGGTTTTATGGGATATAAATAGGTTTTTTCCCATTTTTATTAAAAAAACCAAATAATTTAGTATATTGAAGCGTTATTGTGGACCTAATGGTTACGGAGAAAGTTCCAAAAAATTGTAAATTTAAAATTCCCATGTTATTCTTATGGAGAATAAATCAACTGTTGTAGTTTGCTTGTTTATGAACATATTTTGATAGAATTTGGAAAATACATTAATTTGTTACTAAATTATTAACATTTTCCAACAAAAAACACTTTTTTACCCTCCCTGTTGCAGCAAACCTAAATACTAGTTAAACTAATTATATTTAAATAGGGAATAAATGTGATATATTTAAGGAGGCATTTTATTGTAAATCCAATCAGGCAAATGGAAATTCGCTTAGTCTGCAGGTTTGCTGGGGCGGGGGTATTTTGTTTATATGAACTCTATTAAATTAGATGTATAACTAAGAAGTTATACACAGATTTTAATTTGTTTGATTGCTCATTTAACTACAATGATGTTACATTCACTTTCACATTGTTAGCAGTTGAATATAAGGTAAACATATATTACAATTAAAAGACTACGATGATTAAATAGTTCGAGGATCATGCCAAGAGGTCTTCAATTTTAGGGTCATTGGTTCAAATCCTGCCAAATGACAGTGACAATTCTTTACAGGATAATGTAGGTAGGGATTGGTGGCATAAAAGGATCCCACTATAAGTTATAGGTTTCCCTACCTATAAAACAAACCAAAACTATAGTGATCTTAAAGCTATCTATTAATGGAGGTCTTCCTCCACAAAAACTTATCAATTATTTATGTATCATAAAAATCCTGTCAAAAAATTAATAAGCTTGAAATGTTGTAATTAATTTTATTATTGTTGAAGGATAGTTTGTAATTCTGTCTAAATACAGGTAATTTAAAATTCTTTCTCAAATTCTTCACTTTGAGGAGATACTTTTCCATTATTACACTATATAAGCATTCCAGCTAAAAGAAAATATTTCTTAGCTTTTACTACAGGTAGTTGGCTTTTTATTTTGTCTAATTCCTAAACTTATTTGTAAATTGAATTTGGTAACAATTCAAAATTACTCTGCCAATACTTCTAAGTTTTCTATTCATTAAAAGAATTTAGGTGAAATTAAGAATGGTTTTTTAATAAAAATAAAAATAAAATAATTAATATGTTTCTGAGCATGTCTACCTAAAATGTTTTAAAATAATGGCTTTATTTTATATGCGTACTTGTCCAATCAATTATACATTGTTTGCTATCAGAAACTTAACTAATCATTGATTGGTTATCATTCACATTTTATCAGTTTTCTGTATTTTTTTGAGCAGTACTACTATGAGTGGCACAGTGACAGGTTTACATTTACCTAGGTTTAGAGAACTGATTAATGGTTAAACATAAAAATTAACTAGTATAACAAACTACCGTGAATTAATTAATTAACATAGTAATGTAATAAAAAATTATAGTGTAAATGACAAATTTTATAAATACTTCATTTAGGTCTTGGCACCATTAAATCATAAAACTACCCAAAAAATGTATATTATCTCTTTATTAGTTAGTATATCATTGTTATTAAATAACAACAAATGTTTTAGTTGTTGACACAATAGTTTTATATATCTAACTCTTTTCCACGTAATTTTTATTAAATATATTGTTAACATTATTTCAGGTCATTTAAGCTAAGCTGCTTTAACTTTACTCATACTTTGACCTTATTGTGAGTTATTAAACAATATGATTTCAATGATTGGGCTTAACCAACACTGCATTGGAAGACCACAATAGTGTAATTTGTTGTCAAGAAAACATCTAAACTGTTTTCTTGGTATAATTAAATCATAGTAAATAGGTAAGACGTAAGAAACACAGTTTCATGAACCAGTGGACTGGAGAATACTTTACAACTTACCCAAGGACTCTAGCCTTCACAAAAAACAAACCAGACCACTTTACCTTTATCTTACTTTCTGTTGTTTCATTTGAAGGAGTCTTAATGCATTCCAACTGAAACAAAACTAATCCCAGCTGAACTGAAAAATGTCACTTAAATCTAGTGGAGTGGCGTAAGAGGTTTAAGTTCCTTGAATAAGTCTCTGCATTAGTAACTTACAACAGATAAAATCGTCCTACTGTGACACAAACGGGAAAATACAGTTTATCACAAATCCTTCCAAAATATCTTTAGGGATTAAATATGGGATTTGCAAGAGGCGAGAATAAATATTTATTTACTATTTCATAAGTGGGGAAATTATGTGTAATTTTGTTTACAGAGAACGAAATCTGGGTGGAGAAGAAACTACTGTGTTTCATCAGACAGCTTCATAGAAAAACATCATGCCAACCAAGACTTGCACAACTGGCAACTGCCCCTTGAAGAAACCAAAGGCCAAGCCAAAGAAACCATCTACAAACAAAACTGCTTCAAAGCCAAAAAAGACCACGAAAAAATCCTCAAGGAAGATGCAATGCGGTAACTATAGAATATAAACAATATATAGACTATTAAGGGGATTTGGGATACTTGACCAGTAATTCATGAACACATTTTACAGGTGTATATGTGATTTTTACAATGAACCTTTTCAATGAAATATGTTGTTCAGTACTAATGAAACTGAATCAAAGTGACACTTTTCCCTGCAAAACAACTTACTAAAAATCTTAAATTGTTTAACTTGGTTTTAGCAAATTTCCCTTATAGGGAATAAGCTATTACCGTAGACCTCATGGTAAGACCTGGACTCAGGACCGATTTACTTTTTCGTTTTGAGGTCCCCAGAGGTAAAAAACACCATCCGTTCAAATTCATATAATATACATTTATATATATATATATATAGGCCTATATATGTCCGTTAGCACGATAACTCGAGCAAAAATGATCCCATTTTGATGGAATTCTGTATAAACGTGTAAACCTACATTTATTCTTACGAATTTGCGAACCAGCATGATCAGACCAGGGGAACGGGGGTTTTTATGGGGTAAAAATGGGGTTTTCCCATTTTGGACCCTAAAAACAAAACAAAATTGCAATTTCTTTCTAAACCATTTTGTAGAGCTTAAAAAAATCAATAATTTAGTATATTGAAGGGCTGCTGTATGCCTAACGGTCACAAAGAAAATTCAAAAAAGTGTAATTTTAAGTTCCCATTTTATTCCTAAGGAGAAAATGAAAACTGTTGTAGTTTACTTATTTATGGATATGTTGATAAAATTTTACAAATTTATTTATTCCATCGTACCCCTACTATTGACCTATGGTCAAAAAAACACTTTTTACCTTCCCCATAGCAGCAAATCTAAGCACTCATATCAAATCTAATGTTATTTAAATTGGGAATAAATATGTCTTATTTTTTATTGAAATATTTGAGCAAAAATGTAATCAGACAATATGAAATTTGATTAGTCTGCAGGTTTTCTGCGGCGGGGGTATTTTAATAAAGGCTTAGTGCACACTGCGTTAAGAGTTTTAAAAAGTTAAAACAAAAACAAGGTGATCAATAATATTTAGTCGAAATGTTTCTATAGGTGAGGATATAAACGACACAATATAAGTTTTCAACTACATTTATAAAAATAATAAAATGATAATATTTGAAATAGATACTTGAAATCTTTGCAACTCTTAGTAATAAAACACTTCATAGATTCTACTATAAGAGTGGATATGGTTTTTTATTGGGAGCTATAGAGAATCAAAATCTTTAGCAAGTACTGTATTTAATTATTTTTTTATTTTTTACTCAAAAATGAATATAGATCTGCTGTTCTTAAAAAACAGATTTTCTAAAAGATGGTTTCATAAACTAACTTTTTTAACCACTTGCACGTACAGATATTTAACTACTAACTGTATGCTATAAAAAGACAATAGTTAGTTATGTACATGTCATGTATGATTGTTTTCCATGATGATAGTATTGGAAACAATAGCTTTTTTGTATACTGTTATGGTATATTGTAGTATGTATACACTTTTCAATACCATTATGTTAAGAGTCCCAATTTAATTTAAGTCAGTCCTTAATTCATGTGTTTTTGTTAGTGTGGAAGTGCTTTCGATACAGCTTAAAACATAAGCTTGATAGACCAATAAGTTCGGGCCGGGTGATCAAATTTGAATATTGAAAAAGCTAATGAGTTACAGCAGCAAAAGGAAAAAGAGGATTCAGTGATCGTGATGGCATTTTCTTTCCCTTCCCTTATTTTTTATAGATCTCTGTGGACATATTTGAGTTGTAATCAGTTTTCTCCATTCACTACACTCATTCTCCCATGAATTTCCTCTGCACCATTGCATTCCAGATACAAAAAACAGATTAGAACTCGCAAAACGTTTTTGGCAAGTCAGTCGATCGAGCCATTTAAGAACTACAGCTTGGCTCACACAAGCACAAAGATTACATAGTGGCAAAAAAAGTGGGGGACAGACACACAGCATATCTTTAGGAAAACTGTAGTATTTTGACAAATGTAGAACGTCTGCAGCTTAGTATAACATGGTCATGCTCAATAGGAGGTGTGGTGTAATGGCATTTTGAAACTCCTCTCTCTACTAAATTAATTTAAAATGTTAAGGATCAGATATGATACTGAAGCTGTACCTTTATCTCCTTCTTTTTATGAAAAAAATACAAGTATGTATAGCCAGGAAGAAGGAGATGAGGGTGATAGAGAGAAAGCAATAGCTCCTGGTTGTTTTTCAGTTATTTATAGTATTCCTATCCTAAGTGTGGATAATTGTATTGCAGTGTCATCGGATTTTTTCATATATATGGTTCAGAATTACACTAACAATTGTGTTTGTGTGGTTCCCCTCCCTTAGTTGCTAGCACTGTATATGTATCTATGTATATGGCATATATATGAATGACATATATAAAAAGATGCAGGGGACTGACTCTTGTTAATGCAGTTACTAGCAAAACAATACATGCTCATGTTGACAGATGGAGACACCAGCAGTGACTGTCCATGCTCAGACGTTTGTGGATGTAGTTACTAACAATACATGCTCATGTTGACAGATGGAGACATCAGCAGTGACTGTTCATGCTCAGACGTTTGTGGATGTAGTTACTAACAATACATGCTCATGTTGACAGATGGAGACATCAGCAGTGACTGTCCATGCTCACACGTTTGTGGATGTAGTTACTAACAATACATGCTCATGTTGACAGATGGAGACATCAGCAGTGACTGTTCATGCTCAGACGTTTGTGGATGTAGTTACTAACAATACATGCTCATGTTGAAAGATGGAGACATCAGCAATGACTGTTCATGCTCAGACGTTTGTGGATGTAGTTACTAACAATACATGCTCATGTTGACAGATGGAGACATCAGCAGTGACTGTTCATGCTCAGACGTTTGTGGATGTAGTTACTAACAATACATGCTCATGTTGACAGATGGAGACATCAGCAGTGACTGTCCATGCTCACACGTTTGTGGATGTAGTTACTAACAATACATGCTCATGTTGACAGATGGAGACATCAGCAATGACTGCTCATGCTCAGACGTTTGTGGATGCAGTTACTAACAATACATGCTCCTGTTGACAGATGGAGACATCAGCAGTGACTGTTCATGGTCAGACGTTTGTGGATGTAGTTACTAACAATACATGCTCATGTTGACAGATGGGGACTACAACAGTGACTGCTCATGCTCAGACTGTTGATGCTGCAGTTGCTAACAATACATGCTGCTCATGTTGACAGATGGGGACTACTGTAGTGACTGCTCATGCTCAGACTGTGGATGCTGCAGTTGCTAACAATACATGCTGCTCATGTGGACAGATGGGGACTACTGTAGTGACTGTTCATGCTCAGACGTTTGTGGATGTAGTTCCTAACAATGCATGCTCATGTTGACAGATGGGGACTACAACAGTGACTGCTCATGCTCAGATGTTTGTTGGTGCAGTTACTAACAATACATGCTCATGTTGACAGATGGAGACATCAGCAGTGGCTGTTCATGCTCAGACGTGTGTGGATGTAGTTACTAACAATACATGCTCATGTTGACAGATGGGGACTACAACAGTGACTGCTCATGCTCAGACTGTTAATGCTGCAGTTGCTAACAATACCTGCTCATGTTGACAGATGGGGACTACAACAGTGACTGCTCATGCTCAGACTGTTCATCATGCTGCTCCTCTGATTGCTCCTGTTGCTCATCAGAGAGTGACATCAGTTTTTCATCAGTTTCCTCATCAGAGTGTGCTCTTCTTAATTCCAAGGCTCGGGGTAAATCGTCCTCCAAAGGCAAGAAATCTGCCAAGGATAAAAAGCCCTCAACCAAGTCCGCATCCAAACCAAAACCTTCAAAGAAGGTCCCTTCTGGTTGTAGCTTGAAAAAATAATGATTCCATTAGAAACTAGGTTTAGGTAGGGTTGAGCGTTAAGTTTTAAAATTGCCTTCATGGCCTCAATAACCTCAATGACCTCATAGATCAGGATTCCCCACCCACAACTGATATTAAATACTAGGTCTAAGACTTTGTTTGTTTTAGAGATATTAAGCTAAGGCTTGTAAAAAAATTAACATGTATTTTGTGATAGTTAGGTTTGTGATAGGTTGTGTAAGGTATTGTAAATTTGATATTTATCCTTGATTCTGAATGTAAAATTAGTGATTGATATGGATATCAATCACTCATTTACATTAAAAATTAGAACTTATACATCAGGTCACTGTAGTGTTAAAATGTCATTTATGAGTAAACAGTAACAAATTGTTGTGTCAGGTTCTTGGAAGGTTTAAAATTAGTGATTGATATGGATATCAATCACTCATTTACATTCAGAATCAAGGATAAATATCAAATTTACAATACCTTACACAACCTATCACAAACCTAACTATCACAAAATACATGTTCATTTTTTTACAAGCCTTAGCTTCAATATCTCTATAACAAACAAAGTCTTAGACCTAGTATTTAATATCAGCTGTGGGTGCTATGTATATACTTAATAACATTTTGAAGAAACTAGCATGATGTTTTAGCAGTACTTGACCAAAAACAGATAAAAACGGAGGTACAGTTGACATCTTAATTTAAATTTGTCCTTATAATTATTTACAAAGTTCAGTATTTTCTCTGCCCAAAACTGATACACAATGTTTATTCAACAACTTTATTTGTTAAAAATATTCAAGCAAAAGCTTGTTAAAAATAACTAAAATGTATGACTTTCTTGATAATTAGTTTATATGTTTATTATTGTATTTGTTTTTGATAGTTTTTGATATTCTAATGTTACTTGATTGATTGATTGATTTTCATGAGATTTTAACAATGATCCAAGACAATTTTTTAGACGTTCTTAAAAATAAGCTTCCAAGAACCTGACACAACAATTTGTTACTGTTTACTCATAAATGACATTTAAACACTACAGTGACCTGATGTATAAGTTCTTATGATTAGTTTTGATATTTATGATTCATATTTTATTGTAATTTTCAGACTTATGTCTTATCGCTTTTATTGAAATATATATCTAAAGTAATACAAAAGCCTAGAACTTTATTTACTCCTTTCCTGATGACGATCACAACACAATGTAGGAGTTCCATGGGAACATTTTGTTGCTGTTATTTTTAAATTATTAAAATATAAGGAAGCATATTGGTTTTTGTTAGTTTTTAGAAATCTAGAGAATTTTAATGGATTATAAAGAAGTATAACGTTACCTGGATCTGCCAGAGAAATCCAAAGGTTGTCTGTCGACTATGTGTTTCGAAGCACTATTCGCTACAATGTCAGATTATCTTGAAGACCTGATGATGAAGCTAATAGTGCTTCGAAACAGGTCGACAGAAAACCTTTGGTTTACTCTGGCAGACCCAGGTAACATTTTACCATTTTATAATCCAACAACAATACTGAGACAAGAAACAACATGAATTTTAGTAATTTAAGAACAAATCTCATTTAAAGATGAAGATATATGCATTCTGATGATACAGTTCTGGAACAAAAACCTGATAATTGATGTAATAAAAGCTGAGAGAACATCAGCTTTTTAAATTGTAGTTAACCTAAATACAGAAGATGTCCAAAATTGGGTACAGCTATTAAAAAACAGTAATGGAGCAATTAATTATGTCAAGAGTAAAAATTGATCGCTAATATCCATTATGACTCAAAATCGCATATTTAATGTTTTGTTTGAATTTTAGTCTAAAATACGTAATTTTCTAAAGTTTTGCTGACTAAATTCACAATTTGCCCGTATTAATCCTTGGAATTTAAAGCCTGCCATTTTATATAAACTTTTCTTTACGAAGCCAATTAACAACAAGACCTCAAAAGACACATTTCACTACTTTTTTAACGAAAAAGAAGTTTTTACGATTTATTTAATACAAAGTTTATTCGTAACTGGAAACTATAATAAAGAGATAAACAAGACGACCACAACGAGAAAACTATCCCATTTCACATTACTTCAGGCTAGAGCTAGGGGTTGCAGCATTATCACTTAGAATCCATTGGTGATATTTCAGGTTTTGAACCTGGGACCTCAGGGATCGAAGTCCCGTGCTCTAACTACTAGACCAGCTCGCCCCCCCCTGCTATTATATTGGATGCATACAATAATACACTAAAATGTAATTACTGATAACTGGAGCAGCTGATTGTTACCACAATCAGAAATCTGCAAGCAGAAATTTTCTTCAGTGGGATAATCTTGTTCCAGAGGTCAGAGTAAAAACCACTCCTTCACAAACAAGTTAGTGTAAAACCATTGATAGATGATTAGTGGTTGTCTAAAAGTCACAATCACCATTACAAAATGTTTAAACCCTACTTAGGCATTGCTACAATTTTTTTTTTTTAACCTTACACGGCTCATTTAATTTTAAATTTAGCTTCTCACACATGGCGGGATATGATAGTTACAAAACATAAATGCTGTGATGAAAGTTATGCTAAAAAAAAAAACAAGGGTAAACAAGTAAAAACGTTTATGAATGTTTTAGGAGTGATGAACATGTTGTTAATAAAAGTCCTTACTTATCAAAGCCTTGGCTTCATCTAACCTGTTAAACTTGATCTTGTATCTAAAAAAAAAAAACACTTTTGGTTCTAGCGATGAAAGAAACTTTACCATGGATCTTTACCCTTCTTAAAAATATATTCGAAAATATTCAAATAGCTATGACTATATAAAAGCACAGGAACACTATCAGTTGAAATTAGAACTCAAAATATTGTAACTGTAAATATTTTAATATAATTTTAACTAGCTGCATACTGTATTTACATAATATAATACATTGTTTACATTATACCTTCTAGATATTGAGTAACAAAAACAATTATATAAAGCAAGGTACTAACACAATACAGCAACAAAGAAATATAGATTCTCAACAACACCCAATGAACTGGATTGATTTTAACAAAAAGTTTACTTTTGAAATATATTCATGATAATTATGATAGTAACTATTATGATGAAACTATAATAACAGTAATTAATAGTACATGGTTTCATCACTAAAGATCAACTTAATTTTAAATTTTAAAATCTTTTAACTTTTTTTGCCACATTTATAGATTACACCGATTTTATCTAGCAAACATCTTAATTACAGAGAACAAGTAACATTTTTTAAATCAATCATTCTCCATTTTTCAACAATTAAATGAGGGTGAACCAAGAACCATAAATAAACTAGAGTCTCGCTATTTTGAACGAACCCGAGCTGAACATAGTTATGATTAGCGGGAATTCAGAATAAGTAGGAATTCAGAATAAGCGGATTTCTGTAATAATTGATCATCGCGATCACAGATGATGTTCGCGGTTGATTGCAGGAGACAATGATGTCTCTGCAGCCGAGAAATATGTTCACGATTTCGGCGTATCCTCAATAGATTTTTACCAATTCGCCATGACTGCACTAATCTTTTGTTTTTGCGATCGCAGAAAGCCTTTGGGAAAATGCGCGATTTATAGTTTCTGCGATTGCCACCCAGGTGATGTTCCTGGTTTGACGATTGTGAGAGGGATGATGACGATGTCTCTGTGACCATGGAGGATGTTCTTGATTTCGTGTTAGCTTCGTATTAACGTCTTAAAAAATAAATAATAATTTCTAACTTAAGTTTAGATTTAGCTGATTTTCTAAATAGCGGGGTTCAGAATAGTGAGACGCTACTGTATACCATGATACAATTTACAACAAAATATTTTAAACAATTTACATTATCAGCGAAAAAAAAACATTTATTTAAATCCCTTAATTGGGGGTTCTTACTTTACTTTTAATGATGATAAAAATCAGCCTTTATTTCCTAAGCAACAAAATAACAGTGAATATACATTTTATATAAATACTTCACAGACAACACACAGTTAACGTTAAGGCTTAAAACAAAAATCAGCAAAGAACAAAAAATACAAACAGCTATTGGTAAAAAATAGACAACACAAGAAACGAGGAAAAGGAAAATATTTACCCTATATTAAACTCCCCTTATAATACTTCTCGTTGTAACAACATCCTTAACAAAATAGGTTATATAAATTCTTTTGTTAAAGATTTGTTATAACATTCAGTAGACAATAGTTATTTGTGCAACTAGTGAGCAAAGTGAGCAATTGCCTCACTCGAGAGAAATCCTTACTCACGAGCCGTAGGCGAGTGAGGAATGGTTTCTCGAGTGAAGCGATTGCACTTTGCACTCGAGTTGCACATTATATTTTTCCTACAGCTACCATAAAACAAATAAATTGGTAAAGAAATGTGCCTTCACGTTGCAAATCTGGAGTGAGACGAAGTAATTAGAGTGAGACAATGTTAACACTGTCTCACTGATGAGCGAATTGGCCACTTTGCTTTCTCAAATCAGCGAGAGAACATGTACATTGTTAGGTAACTGTAGGAAAAATCAGTCTAAAATAAAACTTACAAAAAGTTTGAAATTGTTTTAAAGGTACAACACCTTTATAGCAGAGTATAAACTTAAGCAAAATTTGGAAATTGCGGACTTATTCATTGACACAACTATTGCTTATCAATATTATTGCATATTATATAGGCACAACTCAGTTGGAATAAATAATATTAGGCACTATTTACCCACAGTTGAAAAAAAATTTGAGTAAAATATTTGCTTTATAAAGCGGACGCAAGATAACCAACGTTTTTCTTATCTGCATAAGCAAATTAACTAAAACAATAATATACAGTACAGTACTATTTTTACAGCAATCCTTAGACAACTTTTTTTATGTGAAATAACCTTTTTCTAATAACCAATTGAGATTATAAAAATGCATGATTGTACCAAAGATTATTGCATAGTGACTTTCTTGATCACTTGGAAATGTGAATACATTTTTTTAGATTTTATGTTCTTTTATGCTTTTATGTCTGATCAAAGGTAAATAAAAGCTTATAATAAGTCAATTAAAAAATCAGTCAAAAGGTTTTCGTTTCTTATTGTACTTGAAATATGTTACAAAACATAAACAAAATTTGTCATACTAAAAGTGATAAAACAGTCTCAAAGTTTAATAATATCATAAATAAAAGTAATATAAAATACTTTTTAAAGCAGCTAAACTTAATTATAAGAAAATAGTTTAAATAACTACAATTTGTTTACCATACTTAAATATAAAATTAAATAACATATACATACAGCACAAAAATGTAAATAATATAAATATATCAAGTCAAAATAACACGACATAACTTAATAAAAACATTATACGTTCATTCTCAACATTATTAAGAATGAGACAACTATTTAAAAAATAATCCTATTTAAATCACAAAAATGTATTGTTTTGATATCAAGCATACCTATTTTTGGTGCTGATGCCAATATTAAATCAAAGATTCCTTATTGCTTCATGAAATCAGATGGAATAAAAATAAAACAAGTAATCTTAAGTTTTACCGTAAAAAAAATGTGTCTTATATTAATATAACGCAAACTTAAGTCAAGATATACAATCACTGATAATTGTGGAGAAATAAATTTACTATGGGAAGTGCTCTTATATTTAGCAAAGTCTACGTTTTCTATCCTATTCTGAAATCTAGTTTCAACATTTAGGTTTCAAGTGGATTTAAAGAGCAAAGATAACATTAGCACCACAATAAATAATTTCTGACTAGATTTTACACAAAACTATTCTTGTTTAGTACCATTTTATAACCTAAATAATGTACAGTAGAGCCTTACGAATACACACTTGATGACTCGCCATCATAAGAAACTTGGCTACATAATTATTCCTCCTTCTGCTTGATTAACTTTTATATTTTGAAGAAAAGCCGTGGAAAGGGATACGATTTACCTATCTCACCTGGTAAAGTTCGACTCTATAGTGATATACATACACATACTGCATCACAGCATAACATTGATGTATCGTCAGAGTTACTCCAGAGTTAAAGAGTAAATTGATGATAAATGTTGACTTTTCACATTTCTAACCAATCTTCTCTCCGAAGAACAAAATATCAGAGTTACGTTATGTGACCTTTCATCGGATATCTATTAGACCCAAAACTTTCTAATGTAAGCTGATTAAACTTAATCTCTTTACAGAACATATCGAAAAGCTAATTATTACTTTGTCTAAGAAACTGCTGATGAGCATTATATCATTTTCTATCATGTAATTGATTTTACGTCACACTACACTGTTTTGACGAACTTCCCACGCAAGGATTTAGTCCGGAAAACAGCTGTTTGCCGCCAGCTTAATCAAATGGGGGTTCATTACGTACTACTGTACTGTAATGAGCTTTTACCAGACACCAAAAACATAACCTCTCTTATTTGTACAGATTTTTTATTGTTAAGTTAGCTTCATAGAGTAGTATGGCATAAAATATCGTACGTCACTCGTCCAAAATATGTTTACTGGACTCGTATCGTAATCCCGCACTCGACTTCGTCTCGCACGGGAACGACCACACTTGTCCGGTAAACACCTATTTTCAGGACTAGTAACGTAATATACTATTATAAAATATAAATTGAAGCTTGGACAAATTTTTCAAGAGCAATTGCAAAATGAAAAATAATTTTTTGTATAAACAAAATTTCCGAAGATGTCTAGTGTCTCTTTGTTTAGCACGGGGTAGAGTTCTTGATATTGTACATTGTGTTGTATTCGTAAGACTCTTCTGTACCAAGAGAGATGAACAGGCATTAAGATATGTTGACTAGTAGACAGATCAGAATGCAACATATCACAGAAGCATCAGACAAGATTGGTAGAGTAGAGACTAATAATACTTACGGTAATTATTGTCATTTTCTGTTATAAATTTACAGAAACAACACACAGAACAAATAAGATCCATTGTAGCGATTGGGCAACTTGTTCACATTGACTTTCAGCAAACTGATCTGTATGTACTCGGGAAAAAATGCCTCTCCATCTCACACAAATAGACGATAGAACAAAACTTATCAGCAGCGTCTAGGCCAACTTGTAGGTCAAGACTAAAAGCACTTTCATGCCTATAATGCAAAGAGATCCTTTAAACTTATGGAAGATTGTATTTAATTTATTATTAATTTTACTAAGAAAGACCCTATATCAAAGTAAAATGTTCGCAATGTAGAAAACATTAGACACAAAAATTAATAAATAAGTCAGAAAATGTTTTTGTGATGAAGATTTCTAGAGGAGAATAAAATATTTGTGCTTTGAGCTATTTTACCATTGACTATACACCTCTTTCAGCCAGGTTGCATTCTTTGTCAATGACATCCTGTGCTGATGGCCTGGTTCTCTTAGTTTCCTAGTCTTTAAGGTTGTTAACACGTTCCGCGGCCAGTGGCGGGAGCAACCAATGCGCTATCGTGGATAAGTGTGCGAAAATGTTTAAATTTAGTTTCATCTAATAGGAGAGGGGTATAACGTGTACTGCATTTCAGTCATTGTGGACGCAGCTTTTACAAGAACCCAAAAGATAGCAGCACTAAACAGCAGGCTCTCAGTATTGCCAAATGGAGGAAAAAGTAAGGCGAAACACCTGGATACACCATCAAAAAATATCGCAAAAAGGGGTCCAGCACAGTTTTGAGGTTAGGTTCCTTAAACAATGCTTCACTGCAGTAATTAATATAATTTTTCCATTCCATTTCACTAAATCCATGCCAAAACCTCACACTACACTGAATTTGGAACAATCTCTTCCACCGATAAAATAGTCCTATCTGAAAAAGAATTATACTGGATTGAAGTATAAAAATGAAACAATAAGCGGCAATCGGAAATAACGTTAACCACGCGAGGCTGAGCTCACACTGAAAAAAGGTTGCAGTTATGCAAGGAGGACAATATATTCCGCCCCGCACCAGTAGTGAGGATTTACAGCGGGATGAGAATTCACACCCCTCGCATTCAATGTGTTAAGGAGAAAACGATCGCAGAAGACAATCACAGTGTTGCAGTGATTGCAGGAAAATGTACGGTCACAAAAATATATTGGAGCCACTAGCTTCACCAAAAATTTTGTTTCTCTTTTGATGCATTGGTATTACATCTAGTAAAGGTGTAAAGTCAATGATTTTACTTTGTTCACAGTTTTTACTTATTATCGATAATTCGTCGCTTGAAAGACAAAAGGGAGGTTAAGTATTGTATGTACTTATGCCTCTTTGTCTTGCAAGCATCGAGATTGAAAACTAAGCAATGAGTGATTTTAGGAATTATTACCTATGATTTAAATAAGGAGTTTTTTTGTAACCGCTTACCAGAAAATGAATGAATCCAGAAGTTTATAGATACACAAAAACGGCCACACAAAATAACTCTAACATTTCATCCTAGATTGAGACTTGGAGAGTAAATTCTATGTTCGTCCAAGATCGTACATTAGGATATCACTTGTTATGTTGTGTGATATTGTTTGTGTATCAATAAACAGCTGAATTCATATTTTCTAAGGTAAGCTGGTTAAACTCTACTCCTTAGGAAACAAACTTCTTCATATGCCACATATCTTTGCTAAAAAAATAACCAATATTCCATAACTATTGACAAACTTAAAAGAAAATAATAAAATAATCTGAACATTTTCCTTAGCAAATTTTACAGATTAAAATGGGTATCAACCAGTCGATTACCCTATTTTGAGGGTTTTGCTAATACAGTATTGAACTCAACTATGCATAAAAATGATGGCAGTTGACAGATAGTTCTACGGTGCAAAAAGAGGAGCAACTTCTGAGATGGGGGTTCCAAGGACGTTCTGACAGACTTCTTGTAGATCCTGCTCCAGCATCAGTGAGGATATCTGATCATCAGTGAGCATCTCCACACTGAAATTGTCACAGCTCGGTTGATACGTGATCACAATGGTAGCAGTTGCAAAATTACTAGAAGGGATTTAAGGTAAACAATATTGTTAAAACACTGAACCCTATGACCTATGCCGCTAATGCCGTTGTGAACGAAGCCCGAGTATAGATCAAGCATCAATATTTAATTTATTTTTTTATTTTATGATAACAAAAATTTAATATTTAAAAAAATTTTATATTATATATAGGCCTAGTATTATTATGCTATATATTATTATTATTATTATTATTGTATTAAATACTAAGCCTTAATACATTTAAACGTTATTCTGTAATGTCAACCATTTGTATATAATATACAGAGTGGTCCAAAAAGGACTGACACATTTTAACACAAATTTTTATTTACAAAATGTTTACTACATGGTAAAATCACCGTTTAAGGCTCTGCCGACGTTACCCATGCAACATTAATTCCATCCCCGAGAATTAGCAAAAGTAGCAAAAGTGTGTGATGTGCTAAATTTCAGTTTAATGCCGGCAGAGCCTTAAACGGTGGCCATATTGAGATTGGTTGAATATCACCAAAAACCTTTTGAGTTTTTCTATCTGTACATGTAAATGTTACCATGTAGTATTACACAAATGATGTCAGTCCTTTTTGGACCATACTGTATAGTAATATAATTGTTGTTAATCTTTTATCTTAATTGTCTATCAGCGTTTGTTATACTGTTTTTATCTCTTGTTAGCAGGACCTTGTCTACTGTTGTTTATATTTTAAATGTCCATCAACATTTGTTGCAATTGTTAATTTTTATAAATTTTTATCTTAATATCTGTATTTTGTTGTTGGTTCATATAATTTATTCTTTGTTAAATTTTCATATTTATTTACAAAATGTATTTATTGTTAAATCACACTCCATACTGTTGGTAATCCACAGAGCTGACACACAAAAAAATTAACATATTTGAAACAATCTCTTCCACCGATAAAATAGTCCTATCTGAAAAAGAATTATACTGGATTGAAGTATAAAAATGAAACAATAAGCGGCAATCGGAAATAACGTTAACCACGCGAGGCTGAGCTCACACTGAAAAAAGTGTAGTTGCCACAAGCAGCTCATTGGATTACTGAATGCAGGTATTTAAACCATTATAAATAACATATTGGACATGTTAGTTGTAATGTCTAGCCTGACTGTAGCCATGCTATATACACATGACAATTGTCAATGCATTTTTGTAATGTCCAATGACAAATAAATATTTCTGATTTCTGATTTCTGAATATTCAATTTTTAAATTATATAAAAAAAATTATACAAAATTTTAAAATTTAATTTGGTAATTAGGATTTATTTGATCTATAAATGTATGCATAAAAAATTAATAAAAACTAAAAACATTAAGGTCAATATGAACTATGTCATAACGTAGCTATTTTTTTCTTTTTAGAACAGTTATTGTTTTTTTTTTATTACCCTATAACATTATATATTTTCTTAAAGCTCTTGATTTCCTCTTTAAAATGATGTATGGTTTGTAGTGTTTTGATTAAAACCAAAAAAGTGTTTGAATTAATAGGAAAATACCCAGTATATAGGCATTTAATCCCTGTTAGCGCCCACAAGCTTCAATGTGTAAATTCAGGAATATTACTTTACTTACCGTTAGTTGGATCAACAAACGTTTTTCTTTTTTAATTTCATGACAATGAAAAATTGATTTATAAAACATACAATGAACAACAACTGTAAAATGATTTTTGGTACAAAAAAACTCCTTGATAGCAAAAACATTTACACCATTACCAATGTTAATCAATTTTTTTACTACTTCATTGGGATAGTTGGAAGTACATGCCTCTAGCTTGGAAGAAAGTTTGATTAAATCATCCCCTTGACAATGTTATCAAGGTGAATTTACTGGAATAGTTAAATCCTTATTAAAATTTTCAGAAAAGTTTTGATCTTTAAGTGATCAAATTTAAACAACATAAATAAACCAAATTATACAGCGTATACAATCTGTTCTACTAACTAAGACCTTTAATTTGATACCAAACTCGACCTATGACAGAGGAGGTTCTATTTAAGATTTCCTTCTGACTCCTTGCAGGACATGATATGACAGAAAACTGACAGTTCCTTCAAAAAATAGATTTTAAGGTGTCATGTATGTACCATATCCTATTGATTTATCTCTTATCGTGCAGAACATATTAAACCCGTGCGCAACTTTATGTACACCCTGTATAAAAATACTAAAACGAGGTATTTTGGAGCAGCTTCACAAAGTTTCAAACATAATATCAATTCATGTTTCTGTACCTGGCTAAACTCTCGCTATCGGAAGTGGAGTCATCCTCAGGGTGTAGATAGGCCATGGACTTCTCTAGAGGAGATGGCACTTTCTTGGTACCTGGCAACTTGACATTGGACTTCTCAAACTTAGGCTCGCTGGATCGTCTATCTGTGAGGGACGAGATATTCAACTTCATGATGCCTTGGGAGAAGATCTCCTTCACCCTCTCTCCAGTGGCAAGTCCCCCAAGGATCAGAGTGTCCAAGCTCTGCCTCCGGGAGTTATTCCCTTGCTCCACAGACGATCGGGAGATCCAGTTTGTCAAAGTTGAGTCCGGTTTTGACTTTGAAGTAGTCAAAGTTGAGAGGTCTTCAGTATTTGTTTGTTTGGAATCCTGAAGATAAGCAAGGTGTCAAAAATCTTATACTTGCAAAAACTTTAAGCTGATCTTATAAACATGATTCTAAAATGTTTCAAAATCTAACAGACTGAATTTTATTATAGCTCCACCTATTGAGGGATTTGCGTTTGCAAAATCAGCTGGTATTCAACCAATTGACACAGGAATCTTTTAATGATTTTTTATCAATGTAATGCCTTTACTTTATTATTTTTATTTATGTATTTCAATGCAATATGTTATAGTTAAACACAATTAAAGAAAAAAAAAGGAAAAACCATGGAAATCACGAGTGTACACATCAAAAACTTTTGATTTTTTTAAGGTAACAGACTTCAATAGGCACATGTTCACAAGCATCCAGACGATGACAACAATTCAGCAACAAAACTAGTTGCTAAGAGCAATAAACAGGAATGTACACAATTTTCAATATCCTGAATAGCAGATGTACAAGGTGGTTAATAACTTTTTAGATTTTTTTTCTGAAAAACCTAGCCTAGTTGCCGGTGAAAAACTAGTTTTTAATATCACCCTCATACAGGAAGGTCTGGGGGATGGGATACTCAATAGTAGTGATGTATTGGAACTTAAAGAAAATGTGACAATTTTATGCGGTAATGGTGAAGTCCTTCATAATCCTCCACGATCAAGGCAACATCGACTTTGTTTCCGAAAACTGCAGTTTTCTCACTTAACGTGAAAACAGAACCGTAAGTAACAAATTAAAGCTCTGCATAGGCTATAATTGGCGCTCATTTTTGAAAAAAATTTTCATATGAGGCGTCCTGCAGGACTGTAACCAACTGCTGCCAACCATATTTTGAATCAGTGATCAGGCAGAATGTCTTTGAAATACTATGGGATACTATTGAAATACTATGAAATACTATGGGTTCCCTTGACTCAACAACGTACAAACATCAAATTGAGAATTGTGAATTTGACTCTTCATATAGAAATGTTTTAGTTTAACACTCAATTATGTTCATAACCTACATATAGTGGACATTTAAAAGGCCTAATGCTATTGCTCCTTGGGCAGTAAAATAAAAATAATTATGATAGCAGGGATTATGCATACTCTTGTCAGTGGTGGGCAAGTACCAGCAGCTAATATTTCTACAAGAGATAGCTGGGATGTCAACTCTAGGCTAATAATCTCCTAGTCTCACAGCTAGCACATACACATTCATTAATTCTGAACCTTCAAAAACATTGGTTCAGATTTATTAGTTTGCCATTTCAACGTAGAGGGCTTAATCACAACTTCTACTAATGCTTAAGTATAATTCTTATTCAATACAAAGTTGATGTTCTTTTGTGACAACAGGATTGATATTCCTGTGAATATAGCTTTTTTATTGTCATTTTTTTATTAGGTTTTAAAGAATTCTCACAAGCAACTTGACAAGAGATCTTAATTAGATATGGTCGGTACATGGTACCACATAGGCCTACTTAATGATGATCTGTATTACATTAGAAAAGCATGCAGGTAGTCCAGTTAAATCACCTGATTGTGGTCAGCAAGATCTGAGCCTGGCGAGGAAGAGTCGTTGAGGTTCACCTCAGTCCACACCTCAGCTCGGCAATGTGGAGACGCAAGACTCACCTCCGACCATGTCTCTTGATTGTGGTCCTCTAGGTCTCTCACAGAGGTATCATCACTCTCTGAAGCCTTGCCACCTGCTCGCATCTTGCCTGGAACTGTACCTGAATAGTCAAGTTCAACTTGCACGATTTCTGTTTTAGGTGTGGCTGTAAAATAACAGAACCGGTTTTCTAAGAGACAAACTACATTAGTCTCAAGGACAAAAGCCATAAAGCCAAGTTTTCTGACATCCACTCTCTACATTCTGGCTGGTTTGACGACACTAGTTTGTTAAGTCGTCCTTCATGTGGGACCGTGTATTTTCTACTCCTCGGAAAATGGTAAGTGTTATAATTGAGCGAGTAGGCCTACACTTTTTTGTGTAGCCCAATTCACAATAGAGACTTGTAGTCTGTGTACAGTGTATGGATATCAACACAAGGAAGTTTTTGGTTTTTGGCCTTGAAGTTTGTCTTTTTAAAACCAGTCCCGTTGTTTTATACCTACATCTTGTTTAGCAAGGTTCACCAGTACCTATTAATACTTATAGTGACTGAATCCTTTTCATTTTGGTCTAGATCTGTGGGTTTACAAAGCATATGTGCCAGTGTTGTGGATTTAATACTGTTCGATTTGATTAAATTAATTTAGGGAAAATAACACAGCTCTGTGGTGATCAGAGGGGCTGGCTCTGGCACTGACCAAACATTCTTGGTTCTGGTTGCATTGCACAGTGTAATTTCTTAACAAACATCCCTTATTTGTACTAATGTGTTTTTCCTCCCATTTAAAAACAATTATTATGTAGGTACTTTTCACAACCATTACATACTGATACTACCGGTACCTAAGATTTATCTGAGTAATTTGAGTTATGTAGTGGTGTGAAGTTTATGTTTCAGCATTCTTTTAAATGAAAATCTTCATTTTTTAATCTGCATAAACAGATTTTAATCTTTTATTATTTAAGAAGAAACAATTGCAAAATCCTTTCTAGTGTCACAAATATACCCAAGAAGAGACAACCACATCCAGTTTCACAAAAATATCCACAATAAGACCATATGAATACTGCTAACATCTTTGTCAGATAACCAATATTCCTTACAGCCCAATAGAACACATTTGACTAAACCTGCATAGCATGACACACTTGGGAGGTATCACAGATAGAATCCACATGGTAGATAAGACTCCAACCAGTAAATTTGAAAGGATTTTTTCTTAAACATTTTAATTTAAAAATGAAGAATATATATTTTATATGTACAAATAGTGTGAGAGATAGGGCAATAAGATATAGCAATAAGAATATTTTCACCAATATTCAATCAAACGCTACTTACCTATCTTTGAAAATAATGTATGTATCATATTTTCATCCTCGGAAGTTTCCAGGCTTTTCCTCAAGTCGTCCTTGTTGAGGAGTTGGTAAGGCTGAGAACTCTGTACCTGGGAGCTGAGGCTCACAGAACTTAAATCACTCACTTCTCGAGCCTCCTTCGAGTGGTTGGCTCTCAGTCTGCCTTCTGACACTGTTGATAGGCTGAGATATTCTGAGTTTTCAGACTCGTCTTTGTGGATATTCTAGAGAAATTGAGAAAAAATAACACTTTTCAAGAGAGTTTTGAAAAAGATGTTCAGTTTATTTCCTAGGTATAAAACGAGCAAGACTTTTACTGTTTGGTCAGTGTTAACCACTTTATTTTATAGCCTCAGTATTTCTCGCGAGCGAGCAGATTTGAAATTATACACTTCAAATGGATCAAAGTTAACTAACTGCTAGATTTATAATGCCATGTTATTAGAAAGATGCAAAATTTACTTAATAAGAACAAAATACTGTATTCACTACAGCACAAACCATCATCTAACCTTAGAATTATTAAAATGAGTTTGTTTGCCTAGATTGTTGTGAGAGTGGTATCCTTCGAACCTGTACGCATATTACACCGCAGGTGCAGTATCTTCAGAGATTCTGTTTATCACTAGAATCACTATTTAAAACTAACTATTTCAAATTTAACCTTAAATTACATGGTTGGGTAAATCAAGGATCAATTTCTCTTTTGCAGAATTGCCAATAATTTTTCAAATTCAAATTCAAATTCAAATTCAAATAGTTTATTGCCATTAAGTATACATGTCATACAATAGGCCAGGTCAATGGAGATAATATACAATTCAAAGTACAATGTACAGAGTCAAGTGTAAATAGATGAACATGCTATACTAATAAACTAATAATACTGGGTTTTTGTACAAAAGTATTTGAGATGTATTGATAATGATGATAATAATACTGTTTATAGTTAAGCAAACAAGTTGGGTAAGTGCCTATAACAAAATAATTAAGGCTAAAATTGGCAGTAAGATACAGCTTAAAACTAAATAACAATAAATTTTTAAATAAAGTTCACAGAAATAACATTATTATGAAAGACTATTATATCACAGTTCATGAAACCATTATTACATACTTTAGAAACAATACCCTACTTAACAATTAGAATTTTACAGAAAATCATCATGTTTGAAAGATAAAAATTCCTCGATAGAGTAGATAACCTTTCTGTTCAAAAAATCGGTCAATACATTTTTCAGTGACTTAATAGGCAAGTTGCGTACATTTTCAGGGAGGGCATTGAAAAGTTTAAGTTGTAAATATTTATAGCTGCGCTGTGTTGAGGCCAGTCTTAATGATGGTAACTCTAAATTATTCCTTAGTCTGGTGTAATGATTGTGAGTTAATAAGCGAGATGAGAATTGTTCAATATTTGTTTTTACAAAAATGATATTCTGCAAAATGTACACACTTGGTAAAGTAAGAATTTTGTATTCAGGAAAAAAGGTCTTACAACTAACTCTACTTTTTATGCCAGCTAGGATACGGATTGCTTTTTTCTGTTTTTTAAAAACGTTAACTGCCCCACTACTACTGCCCCACAAAATTACCCCATAAACTAAGTGACAATGAAAGAATGCATAATAAACATTAATTAACATACTTAAACTAACATGATTTTTCAACCTCCTGAGCAGAAACAAAGAGTTACTTAACCTTGCAACAACCATTTCAGTATGACTACGCCAAGATAACTTACAGTCTAATATGATTCCTAGCAGTTTAGCATTTGATACTTCAGATACAAGATTTGTCTGTGAAAAAATAATTGAAACAGTTTTGTCATTGTTTACTGAAAATTTATTTGCCTTAAACCAACTATCGGCTGCTATTTTCATCTCCTCAGTTTTAATTTTTACCTCTTGCAAAGATTTGCTTGAGACTATTAAGGAGGTGTCATCTGCATACAGTACTGATTTTGAAGGAAGATTAGATGGAAGATCATTTATTGCAATTAAAAACAAAAAAGGGCCAAGTACAGAACCCTGGGGTACTCCTGCTGTGACTTCTTTCCACTGAGAGGTTTTATTGTTGGCTGATACCATCTGATATCTATTTCCTAAATATGATTTAAATAGATCTAAAGTTTTATCTTTTACACCATAGTAACTTAACTTATCAATCAACAGGCTATGAGAAACACAATCAAATGCTTTACTTAAATCTACTAAAGTTAACTCTAAAAAGGCGTGTGATTCAAAAGCATTCAGAATTTCATCAACAACTGACTTACAAGCATCGATAGTTGATAAACCGGCTCTGAAGCCAAACTGGGAGTTGCTTAGAAAATTATGATTACTAAAAAAGGCACTTATTTGGTTATAAATACAACACTCAATAACCTTAGCAAATACCGGGACAAGCGCAATCGGTCTGTAATTTGATGGACATGAAGTGTCGCCTTTCTTGTGAATAGGCACAACTTTTGTAAGCTTAAGATTATTTGGAAAAACACCATTTTGTAAAACTAAATTGATAATGAATGTCAGAGGGGGAACAAGAGCATACTTGAGTTTTTTTACAATGTTTGTTGTTAAACCATAACAATCCTTGCTGGTGGAGTTTTTCAGATTATTGATGATTAAGTCTATATCTTGTGGAAATACATGCTCCCACATGAAGTTAAGATTTTCAGTATAACATTGCTTTGGATGATTATTAAGTAAATCAAAAGAACTAGGCCTATTTGAGTTGCAGAGTGCATTGTTGTTTGAACCATCAAAATTTGCTACATTGACAAAAAAGTCATTGAAGTTTTCAACATCTATAATAGGGTTGGATTTATTTTTATTAAAACTACCAGACTCAGACTTTATAATATTCCAGGCCTCCTTACTTTTGTTATCACAAGTATTGAGTTTATGGTCATTAAACTTCAGCTTTGCCTCTTTGATTTTGCTTTTGTACATTTTTTTGCACCTAACATAAAACTCTCTATTTCTATTTATATCACCTTCTACCATTAATCTGTTGTGAAAAATTGTCAAAAACTCCCTTATCTTTGCAAGTTCAGGTGTAAACCATTTATTTTTATTTTTCTTAGGTCTAGAGTGGATTTTACTGGATTTAATTTTTTTTACAGGACAAAACTCATTGAATTGACAAAGAACTACATTTAAAAAATAATCAAAGGCCTCGTTAACATCATTAATACAAAACAAGTCACTCCAGTCAGTGTTCAATAAACATACATTTAACCTACATAAACTATCGTTAGTTACTTTACGAATTTCTATGAGATCATTATTTTGACTAGATCTAGCATTAACAAAGCCATCTAAAATATTCATATTAAGTGAAAAGTGGTCAGAAATTTTATAAGGAACCAAGTCTTGAACAAATTTGGTGAAATCAATATTTGTTATAAAGTTGTCCAGGCAGGCCTTATTATGAGTGGGCTTAAAATTTGTCAATCTTAAATTAAAAGAATTTAATAAATTAGAGAATTCTCTGGATTGAGGACTATCAACGAGTATGTCTATATTAAAGTCCCCACCAATAACAAGGAATTTATTTTTAAACCTGGAGTCAACCCAAACTAAAAATTCTTCGAGTCTCTCTAAAAAATCATAAACACAGTAGTCTGGCGTTCTGTACAGAGAAATAAAAAGATAAACGTCACTCACAAGAACTGCAGCTGCTTCGAAACCGCTAACCTCTGTCCATCGATGAATGTCGATGATCCTGAAGTCCAGGCCCTGGACTATGTATATTGCAGTTCCTCCATATTGGCCACCAGGTCGGCAGTAGGCTGCGGCGAGGTCGTATCCAGCAGGAATGTAGATTTTTGCTTCATCTTCATTTAGCCAATGTTCATTAACCAGGAGAATGTGACAACCATATTCCTCTAATAGAATATCCAACTGCAAAGTTTTGTTTCTGATTGATTGTAGGTTTGTACATACTATAGACATGGTCCTATTTTCAGAAAAATCAGTAGGCCTACAACTATCTAAGCCTTTTGATCTAGTAGAGATGTTTGTAAGTTTTTTGCCATGGTGTTCTTTAATTGTTGTGACCTAGTAATTTCAGGTGTAGGGAAACCAGCAAAATTTACAATACTACTATCTGAATCAGAACTCTGCGGGTCGCCATTATTTGAGTCATTTTCGCTAGGAACAAGTCCATTATAGGAAAGCTCAAGAGTTAGGCTACTATCACACTGCACTTGCTCGGGTTCAGGTTGATTCACCAACTTATCTACAATTGGTAGGCCTAATGTTTCGCTTTTGTCTAGCTGGTTTAAGTGGTAAGAGATCGAATCCTTTAGCATTTTACAAAGTTTATGCTTACCAGCGTAGTTCAGATGTAGTCCATGTTTGGTGTGATCACTTCTGCTGAAGGCAGTTTTCTTCAAAGTCACGATATTAGGAAACCTGGAGGTTTTAAGATCGGTTAACCTATCCAATAAATATGAATTAGTCTTTTTGATTTCACTATTCAGGTTAACTCCTAATTTATCATACCTGAGAGGTATTCCACTGACCAGGATGTTGGTGTTTTTAGTATTTTCCAAGAGTCTGTCAATGTTGAACTGGTGGGAAATATCTGGTTTGATAGATTTCACTGAATTATAAACTGGGTTGTTGTAAAAGTCATTAGTTCCTGCAAGAATTACTACAAAGTCCTTGTTAGTCAGATCCTTGCTCAATTTAACGTCACTGGTCACATCACAGAACCTGGCGTTAGGTTTGAAAAAAGTTGTTACATCAAACTTGTTACCAAGCTCTTCCTGAAGTAGTCTGCTGCAACCTCTTGCGTGGCTGTCCGCCAACAGGAGTACTTTTCTTTTCCTTTGCTTTGAATGGGAAGGTAGGCTAGGCTGTGAAACTGACTGACGTTGTGCTTCCTGAGTTTCGTCTAAATTAGCGAGGACACTGAACCTGTTCTCAAGTGTTAAACTCCAATCTTCAATTTGAATGTTATTAGGCCTACTTTTCTTGAAGTTATTTTTGTGAGAGCTTTTCACTGAGTTAAGCAAGGGGAAACAGTTAGTGCATGTAAGACTGGTTTCACTGTTTAGAGAGTTGAGCGACTTTTGAAGCTCAATTTTGTCTTCCTCTAGAGCCTTGATAACCATTGTTAAGCTACTAATTTCATCTTTAGCAGATTTAAGTTCGCTTACTAAAATTTGAGTTTGAAAATCAGGGGAATTGTGTTGGTTTTTCAAAAGACTTTCCTGCACAGATAGTTGTTTGATGAGACTATTGTTAAGCAAGGTGATATCGTCAAGTTGTTTTTTTAAACTTACAGTTTCGTTTGTAACACCATCTTCAGGACTAGTAGCTTGAGGGAGGCCTGATAAGCTTAGATCAGTCTGACAGCTAGAGTTCACACGCTTGACACCACAACGCAAGTTGGTATTGGAACCTTTACTGTCACTTTTTGGGGTGATTTGTTCCCTAAGCCTATTCCTCAGCAAATATTTATTTTTTTGACTAGACTGGGCTTTGGATTTTTGTTGTTTTTCATTAACACTCATGATCAGTAGATGTAAGCAGGAGCAAGAAAAAATGCAACAAATATGTCTGTTTATCAGTACTCTTGCTTTAACTGATAGTCTGTCATCACTGGAGGGATCAAAACTGATGAGACCTAGGCTAGGCCTAGTTTGGAAACTCTATTGTAAAAATCTTTTTCTTATGGAGTTAATGATTGATTACTTTATTACTCTTACAAGAGACCCAAAACTGCACGAAATGTATCAAATAGACTATAGTTCATTCCTTTTATTAGTAATTGTAGTAAGTCTAGACTGTTTGAATTTGAGGTTATATTTTCTTCTGTTCTAAAATAGTTAAATTTTTTATAAAATCAAAGTTAAAATTTCAATTTGAAGTAAAATACGGTTAGAGTTCATTACAATTTTGAAATATCTTACACTTTAAAACACTGTTTGAACTATTTTACTGTTAAATCACTTGTAAAATATCACTGTACTTAAAAGCTTGTGTTGTCTACCACTTAACCTCACCTCTCTCAATTACCTCAAACCTCCCACATTCAGAAGTTCCAGTTAATAGTTAATAGTTTGTAGCTCTGTAAAATTACTCAAATTTTATTTGTTAATATTAAAACTATTTGTCAATTGTATCTCAGTGTTCTTTCAGTGGCAATGACAATACACGAAAACATAACCTCTCTAAAAAGTTATCAGTAGTCTGTAGTTTTTGAGGATGTAGAATATGATAAACTGTTGTAGAATTCAAGCTCATTCTGTTAATATTACAACATGAATATCTGTCAACTGCTTATATCAAACTTGTATAATTTTCCATGATGGAATACTATTTCCTGGACTAGTGCTACAACATTCAACTGATGTGACATCCTGCTTGTAACCTTTGGAACTGCTAACGAGGTTCTTGTATCCATATTCATATTAGTAAACCATAAAAAATACTCACTCGAGGAACAATAGGAGAACTTGACGATCCTAGCTTGTCAGGTAATCTGAGATATTCCTCGTGGTGTTCTGAATCTGAAGACCCTATTGAATCTGTCCACCGATCTGCAATAGTGATCAATGAATAAAGTAATCGGACATTTTATGGGTTAGAGTAAAACAGTAAAAGATTTTATCTGGTGCTCTATCAAGAGTAAGTTAGTTGGAGGCTCGGTTGCTTGCGCCACAGACTTTGGGCCCAATGCAGCGATGTCAAGGGTTATGATCCTGGTACCTGCCTCTACTTTATATCAGTACAGTTCGCCCTTATACTGTAATGGCTCACCCCTTACTTTGCTGGATATGTACCAGGCATAAGCCTCTGTGGTTTATTTGGACTGGCAAATGCAAGGTAAAACGGGTACGCGTCTAATTGGCACCGCGTCAGATTGGCACCGCGACAGATTGGCACCGCTCCTAGAGGTGCCAATCAGTCGTAACAGTACACGACAGATTGGAACCTGGAGAAAGGGGTGGTGCCAATCTGTCGCGGTGCCAAGCTGACGGCTGCCGCAGAGGTGCCAATCAGTCGTAACAGTACACGACAGATTGGAACCTCTAGAAAAGGCAGGTGCCAATCTGTCGTGGTGCCAAGCTGACGGCGGCCGCAGAGGTGCCAATCAGTCGTAACAGTATACGACAGATTGGCACCGCTGCCCTCAATAGGCCCACCTTTTCGTTTTACTTACTAGTCTGATGTTTGAAAGCAGAGACGTGTCAATACTTGATGCATGTCAATTAATGCATACACATTGATAATAACACACATTGATAATAACACATTGATAATTAACTTTAACAGCACAAACCGCTTCGTAAATTGTCCATCTAATCAAAGTTACAGTTCATCAAGGCTTTTAATATTATGCCATTAAACTCAAGTTTATAATTTGGAAAACGTCTGATACCTACTAAAGTATTTGGCACAATTGAATGAAACCTTGCAGTCATTTTTCGTAAGGGGGTGTGCGTTAACCTGGTTAAAAAAGGTTTTTTCATTCAGAAGTTACAGCTTATCAAAGAAATTACAATTTATCATTCAGTTAACTAATATTATTTCAATGAAATTATATTTTTATGCATTATAGAGTGATAAATAATTATATATTTGAGATGCTGTAATTTATTACTTAATTTACCTTTTTGTAAACAAGATGCGGTTGCACGCAAGTAGGCTTGACCTATAAAATAATTACCGGTACTTCCTTCTTTGACCAAAACTCTAAAATCAAGTAATGTATAACTCGAGGTATGGTTACACTGAATATGCAAATCTTCTGAAATGGGGTTATTTAGGCGTGAAATTTACGTGAATTAAAATATATAAAGCTATGGAAATTGAAAGTGGTCGCTATGATGGATTTTCTACATCATATCAGGACTTTGAGAAAAAATACTTTTAAACACTTTCTTAGTATGCATCTAGATATACGCTACATGCCATGATTAGATGTCGTGTTAGTTAAGCAGTTTGTAACTCGAGACCGGCTGGATCTTTTTAATGATTTATGATTTGTTGGATTCGTCTTTAACCCGATTAACACATGTATCTTCAGTTCAGTATTTAAATTTAGGGCTAAGCCGCACATATGTATGTTATGCGTATGAAGAAAAATATGATGGATTTTGACCATATGCATACATTAATTTAAATATTTTCGAAACAGCTGATTAAACATTTGACAGGTAATGTAATTGAAAGTAATTTTCAGCTGTTTTATGTTGTCTGTGATTGTTTTTTAAAAGGCATATAAAGGTGGCCGGTCGATTTGGTTTTTTTTTACTTTTATGGGGTACAAAGTTCGCCGGGTCATCTATTTTGTAATGTACAGTTCGCTCAATGTTTCTCACGATTACTAGAAAAAACCCGGTATGGATCATAAACATAAACAAAATGACGTTGTTGGCCCGAATCCTATACTAATAGCATTGAACATATGTTTTAGCAGTTCCATTTAACCAATGTTAAATCATGTTTATTTTCGGGCCAAAAACGTCATTTGTTGATGTTTATGATCCATACCGGGTTTTTTCTAGTAATCGTGATGTTTCTGTAAACATAACAATAAAATACGTTTTATAATAATCGTTTTTCGTGTTAACATTAACAATTCGCATGTGTTTTCCTAGTAGGCCTACGCTTTATTTAAGGAATCTTGATCAACAGTAATAACAAAAGGTCGAAATCAAAATACTACTGAGCAAGGCTTGGTCCTAACAGTAGGCCTACTTTACAAATATTAGAATTGAGAAACAGGTGGTGTGGTGTAGTTAACTGAACTGTCATTAATAAAAAACGACCCCTAAATGCCTCAAGGGTCACAGCACTGACGCTAGTTTTAGCGAATTTCCCTATAGGGAAGTAGCTATTACCGTAGGTGGCACGGTAAGACCTAGACCCGGGACCGATTTACTTTTTCATTTTGATGTCCCCAGAGGCCAAAAACACTATTCGTTCAAATTTTTATACATGTATATATATATATATATATAGACTTATATATATATAGACTTATATATATATATATAGACTTATATATATATATATATATATATATACGTCCGTGAACGCGATAACTTGAGTAATTTTTGTCCGATTTTGATGAAATTTGGTTTAAAGGTGTAAAGCAGGATAAACTTGAATGAGTTCGCGAACCAGCACGATCGGACCATGGGAACGGGGCTTTACGGGGGGTTTTATGGGGTAAAAATTGGTTTTTCTCACTTTTCACCCTCAAAACACAAAATTTCCCAATTTCTCTTGAGACCTTTTTAAAGAGCTTAAAAAAAACAAATAATTTAGTATATAAAAGTATTTTTGTTCAATTATTAGTAACGGAGAAAATTAAAAAAATTGTAAATTTAAAATTACCATGTTATTTTTATGGAGAATATTGTCAAATGTTGTAGTTTGCTTGTTTATGAATATATTTTGATCAAACTTGGCAAATTTATTTATTTTGTACTAAGCTATCAATATTTTACTCAAAAACATACTTTATTAGTTTCCTTGTATCAGCAAACCTAGGTACTCGTTAAACCTAATGTTATTAAAATATATTTAACTGAAAATCAATTCAGACAAATGGAAATTCGCTTAGTCGGCAGGTTTGCTGCGGCGGGGGTATTTATTTATGGCCTTGTCCCATTTCAAAAAAGGATCATCTTATTAAAGGTGCTTGAAAAAATATTCGAAACCCTCCCAGCGTGGAGTTTTCCGTCTTCCTCAAATTCTCTGTACGTCCGCTCGTTTGTCAATGTCAACGTTGATGTTGAAGACCAAATTGACAATTGGTAATGCCACATAACTTGCAGACTCAAATATAGACATCTCCGTAATTTGAAAAGCGTGAGGATGCCAGCAGTCCCTCGCGGGGCGCCCTTACTGCGCCAGAGGGCTAGGTAGAAGGCCCTCACTGCGCCAGCACTTAAATCTACACCCTAAAATCAGAACTGTACTGCGCCAGAGCGGTGTTTTCTTTGTAATAATAGTTCTGAGAGAAACTGTCGTAATAATGAGTCTGAGAGTTCATTCAGTGTGATACCGTATACCTAAATTCAGTGTGTTAATCAAATCAAACTTATTTATCCACTTATTTATAAACACTCTGTGACTTATACAATCATAATACCTGATAATACCTACTGTATTTTGTGCTAAAACGTAATTTTGATTTTATTTTTTTACTTATCGAACTTGATTGCATTTTAATTGTCAATGTGGAAAATGTTATGTAAATTTGACCATTATTATGGTAAAAACGGCCGACATGGATCAAGAGTAGAAGTAGAGACTGTAAATACTCACTGTAATCAGTGGATGTTAAACTATAAACTATAAAAAATGCTTTGTATTAGGTTAGTTTGCCGATCAAAGCCGTAGGAAGTAATTAAGACAGATAAACTGATCTTATACTGTATACTAAAAAACTTTAGCAAAACTTATGACAGCTAATCTGTCCATACTACTCGACCAGATTCAAAAGATATTTTCCTGTAGATGTGCAGAATCCCTTTAAAAATTAAAATAGGCTATAAAAAAAGCACAAAAAATGAATTTTAAATTTTAAAATTTAACATGAACCTTATGGGTTGCCATGTTGGTGACGAAATAACAACAAAATATAAACAGAAAATCAAAACAAATGAAAGAAATTTCAATCACTTTTTTATTAACATCGTGGGGTTTGCATCGTACATTATTATAACAACACTACAAACACACTTCAAACTTTCGGTCGAGTTTTCAAACACGGGGCTCTAGCTCTCGTTTAATTTAATTTATGCCGGATAATCGATTAAAAACATTAATAATTATTATTATTTATTCTTGGGTTAGTAAAGTATGTCCATTGCCTTGAATGCGTTCAACATTTTGGACCGCAAACATATAATCTTTAATATTTATGGATTATCCTTGTTAACCTAAGTGATCAAATTAGTAGTGTTTGTCTTAGTACTGTAGAATCAATCCAAGTATGTATGATCAAGGTTTAGTATTCATGTAGAAATGGACTAAATAATTTTTCAACGCCTGTTATTTTATGAATTGAACTGTGAGTGGTCTTAATATTTAAACATTACTGTTTTTCTAGTAAAAACTTTCATTACTTAATATGCCCTCCACCATCTCCATAGCCACAGGTCTTATGACTAATTATCGGCTAAAACAATACCTAGTAAGAAATCAAATTCTATGTACTTGCAGCTTCAAATGAAATAAGAAAAATTGTAATAACAATTACATATTATATGCCACCATTTTTTCATAACTTTTGTTAATCTCTGCAGCAACTATTTCATTTCAACATAACAAACCATCCCGCAAAATTAATGTAAATGTCCCTGACTTTATACTAATTTCAACAATTTTTCCTGACTTAAGAGCATTAAAAAAGTTTTCTTAGCTTTGCACGTATATGGAGACTTTAAATAAATAACTAAAAAAACTAACAAAGAGCTCCGCAAGTATAAAGAAAATACATTAAGTTGTTATTAAAAAATAAGTATACTTACGTTTATTTGAACATCTCCACCGTTTCTCTAGGGTGATCTTTGACGTAAAT